TAAGCGCCCTCTAATAATAAAAACAAACATAGCTGCCACCAGGGTGTGACGGACTCCACACAAAGAAGTTCGCTGATCTGTTCTAAACATTTTGGATTTCAACATTCCCATGATGTATCCTTGGAAGGAAAAGATGTATAAGGTTATTACAATGTACTCAGACAGTACACCATCGCATCGACCTGTGCTTCAGCCGATACTCCCGCTGTGCTGTCTTCGTGCATACTTTTCGGTATCCTCGTAATAACCTAATTAACTTTGAATGGCACAACTTTTCCAGCCAAATGTTGATGCAACATATTGCATTTTATTGTGTATTTTTCTTTAATTAATTAATATGTTTATTCTTTTTTGACATAATGAACACAATTACCAAATAACTGGAAATTTGAAACGGTGGATATGATGACTGGAGAAAAAAAACAAGCCATTTGCGTCTATCAACTTTTCATTAAAATTTTTCTGGAATTGAGTTCATCAATATGACAATATTAAAATGAGTATAGTCACCTGGATGACTCTAGAATTTTATGTTTAAATTTCATTTCATTTCATTCCATATTAAATTGTACGGGTACTAGCTTTATGTACACTATGTACATGTTATCATATGGTACAAATAAATTACTGCCAAAACGTTGAGCGTTAAATTTGGGAGTCTGGGAAATTTATGGGATATTGCAGCAGTAAAGATTTCACTTAACACATCGACTACATCGCCTCTACAGATTGCCAACATCTATTATAGAAAAAATCCCAAGGCTTGTGATGCGTTATAAGTAACAATTGCAAAATGTAGTCCTTTCAAACACTTTCAAATTATGAAATACTAATATTTTTAGTGGTGCAAAATCAATATTTTCTAGTCGGTTGAGCATTAAATCGGCTTCACAAACTATTAAACTATTACAATTATTGAATTTAGACAAAAATAGGTGCACACAATTTACATATCATCACATAAAGTTAAAGCAACGATAACAAACACACGCTAAAAGCACAAAGGCTCTTTGGTAGATGCTTGTTTGTAAACAATGACACGCTATGGCCATCTGATGCATGCGCAGGTGACGACTCCTCCGCTTTAATGAACTGGACATACCCAGTACTTGTGAATAAATAACAAATGTCTAATCCGTCATATTTATTTGGTTCAAATAATGTTATTATCTTGAGAAAATGTACACATTTTAATTTATTAAGGTACCTGCTAATAAAACCTGATTTATTTTTGCACTACTAATCTAAATTTAGCCCATTCAAGATTTCAGTATAAAAAGCTTCCAATATTTCCAATACCAGAGTAGATATCTTATTATTCATGTACTGCAGTTCACTTTATTACACACACGAAAATATAATTGGTATGTTCACTATCTATATGCAAATGAGCAAAAACATTTGGTGTTTGTGTAGTACTGTAGAATACTTTATTTTCGCTTGGAATTTATTTTCGCTGAAAGGATGATTCCGTGAAAATAAAATCCAGCGAATATACTTTTTTTCCTACATTTCACATTAAACTCATCAAAAATCAGTGAAAATAAATTCTATACAAAATGCCCAAAAAGCCTTTTCAGCGAAAATTAATTCCAGCGAAAATAAAGTATTCCACAGTATTCCACTGGGTACCTCCATATTTGCATTTAAAATACTTCATAATAAATAGTATAAAACATCAGCAAATTTGTTTTAGAACCATGAATCTACAGCTTGCGATACATGTAGTTATGACACGCCTGACTGACCAGTATTCTCACTGCCTATATTATTAAATGATGGATATGCAAATCGAATAAGCTCAAACACTTGATAAACAATTATTTGTTGACATCTCTGTTAAAATACATTTAGAGAATGTCACTATGTCACATGCAATGGCCATGGATTATAATGTATTGTTTTTAGTTTACAAAGCTCTCAAATTGTTTACGGTATATCTTGATCAACATTTTTTGCACTATTGCTTTGGCAAACACTGTGAGCGAGTGTTTCTGCCACCATTTGCATTTGCAATTAAATGTGGTGTATCATGGCTGTATTTTTGTTTGTGAAAATACAGTCACAGGATTCACTGCATCACTGCAACGAAATGAATTTGTATCATGCTATTTTAGGTTTATTGGGACCCCTTGTATTCACATTAATGGAGCTAACAACATGCATGTTTGTTTCATTTGATGATTACCATAAACAAATTAAATTATATTTTTCCCAAATCAGGGAATTTTTTTATCAGTGATCCTTTTACAGAAGACCTGAGATGAGATGGTGTTGTGGTTTGAGAGATGTTCAGTAAATCATCAAAATCCTAAAAATGTAGACTGTTGAAAAGTCAACAGCTGACATCACTAAAATTAGATTGCAGAAATTGAAAATTAAAAAAAAAATTATGGACTGTAAAACTGTCAAAGAAAATCTACAGATGCAGACAGTCTATTTAAAAATAACAATAACCATATTGCATGATACTGTAATCGAAAAAAATTCATAGAAAAATACAACAACATTTACAGCCCAATAGTAATTGTGGGAACAGAACCACATGGTTTTGTAGTTACCGGTAATTATGCCAGGATACCAGAAAACAGACTGTAATTCATTTAATTAATTTGACCATATTGAGTAATGCTTATTTTTTTGAAAATAACGAATTGCACTAGAATAGGATAAGGTAAAATGACCATCCATTTACAAATGCCACTAATTCTGTATATATTTTACAAACATGCAACAATACCCTTTTAACCAGAACAGTCATTTCTTTTTTGGTTCTAGATCTATGGCTTCAATAAGAAAAACATATTAGTTTTCAATTTTCTGACAGTCCTGGGTATGACAATTGAAGCCAAGGACCCTGCCAATAATGCATGATAACAGGGCAATGGACAAGTCACAGTCAAGCCAATTATTTAGACAAATGTCTCAATCAAAAAAAAATAAAGATGATAATACCACCTCACAATAATGGGCAGCATGTCACCATTCATTCCCCAAGTATCTGCTTCTTTCCCTCAATCATGGCTAATTTACTCTTACCATAGCCCCGTCAAATTTATAAAAATGCTGGAAATTAATTTCTCTAATATTATAAGTAGTATAGCATTATAGTTTTAAGCACCGTTTAAACTCATTCATTTTTAGATAGCAGGAAATTTGTCAAGATAGGTCAAACACCACACTGACTATTGTGGAATTCCATACAGGTGGTATTCATTAGCTAAAGCATTGTGAGTGGTTCAAATTGTTTTCAACGGTTCAGTACTATTCAATATAATTATCTATAATCCCATACCAGTTACTTGTGTGGCTCCCAGATTTTACTTGTTTTTTTACATTTATGGTGTGTCAGTTTCACTGCAGTTTAATTTTCATGAAAAAAATGCAATTTATACCTCAGAAAGGACTATGCAAAAAACAGTCAAATTCTTTTGTTTTATCATGAGAAGTGATATCATTGATCAAGTGCGAAGCATCCTATTTTATAATATGCTAGATGAGACAACAACCATATAAATTATCAATTCTAGTTCAACTTATTCTGTGTGCAAAGTACGTAAACAAGAAGTACATACAATTTAATTACAAATAAAAATGATAGTAACTAGAGTATATTGAGTGGATCTATTTATCCTGTGGGCAACTATTAACTTTTTATTTTATTTTTCAGATGGCAACTTCACTTATCAATATCAGAGACATTGTGGATATTCAAGCTGAAAAAAATAGAATCAAGCATTGTGGAGTTTTGTGGAGATAAACTGGTTAACCAGTTCCCCCTTTTCATCACAAAATAGTTTGTTTATAGTCTGTACTTTCCTTCAGAATATTGCGACAAAAATAGCCAATTTTTTTGGAAAATTTACTCAAATTCTGTCTTTTGGCTTCAAAATTAGGACTCATTTCCAGAAATATTGAAGAATATAAAAAAAAAGTGCAGAAAAACTTGGGTGAGAAAATCGTTTGGTCAAAACATTACGAAACTGATTGAGTTACAGTATTGAATGGTTGGCAGAAAGTCTAGGGTAAGTAGTTTCAGTCTTTGTTATTAATTAAATTATTCTGTACATTCAAACAATTCTACTACTTTTATCAAAACTTAAAGGAGATTGAGATAAATATCATAAATGCCATGTTTGCATTCTTTTCAGAAAACCAAGTAAAGCTGAAACAGGCTAAAATTGTTCAATAGTTAATCGATTAAAGGGCAGTTGATGCAATCCGTAACACTACATGTATGTCCTCAGTAACAAAGAAAGAACGTGAAGAGCAAAGAGATGCTACTGTTTTAGTAGTTATTTACACGCTCTCAGATAATTTACCCCCCCCCCCTTCATAATGTTATCTTTCATATTCCAGGTATATTTCCACATAATCAATAAAGTTACATATATACTAAATACCTACAACTGTTAAATAATAGACAAGATATTAGATTACTGTCTCAATTGAGACTTAGTTGTCACAAACTCCAAATAGAAGTAGGCAGACATAAGAGACCTAAAATCCCACCGGAGAACAGGATTTGTGATAAGTGTAGAAGCGACAGTATTGAAGATGTAGTTCATTTTATTACAGACTGTAGCTATTACACTGATGAAAGGGATATTATGTACATTGAATTTACCAAGGAAATTCCCACTTTCCAGTCTGAAAACAATATAAACAAGTTTATTATCATTATTAATACTAACAATCCTAAACTAATTAGACATGCGACAGTATCT